TCAGGCATACAGCTTTATATTATACAGTTCTTAAGATTTTGTATTGCTTTTTGCCTCAAAAGTTCGGTTATGTGTATATTCGATATGTATATGTACATATCGTTAATATATGTATGCCTTTTTGACATTGTGTATATATATTTATTTATTTCGCTAATTGTAACTATAAAGACAGTAAAGATGGTGTAAAAAGTAAGCAGTGCTTGTAATTGGTAACATTTTTATTTGTTATTAATAATCTATATGCAACAACTTCAGTCATGTTAATGTTAAAATTAAAATTAGTTTATATAAGGTAAATATTTTCTATTTTTAAATAAATTTAGATGTGTTTTATGGTATTTTTTAAATATTGTAATTATAATTTACAAGTAAGTTTAGTAAGTAAGTTTATTAAGGGTATAAAAACAAAAATCAATAAATGATATTCTGTCATTACTGATTGAGTAGATATGTATTGCCCTTAGAGTTTAATTGCAGGAGTAAATACTTAGTTTACGAGACAAGCTTTCAGATGCCATAAGCAGGAAGCATGTCGACTGTAATATAAACATAACAATCTTTGTACTAACGATTGATAATTTAATAGACTAACAATTGCAGTACAGCGCAGTAACGGTGTACAAACCCTTTAACTTCGCAATGTCAGAACAAGGTTCTCGAAGCAGACCGAAACGGCTATTGAATAACAGTATACCGTTATCCAAAGCCCTTTATGCGTACGAGTGGGTGCCGCAACTGTACTTAGTAAAGTGGTTTCAGGAGTTAATGTAGGAACTACAAGATTAAGTTGAAGAGAAATAATGAAAGCGGAATGAAGTAAGATAACTACAGTGTATTATTTCAGTAGGTACATTATTTTTCACCGTGAGGCAAGATGTAACAAGAAAGCAAGAATAGACGTAGCGGTGATGTTAGATTAATATCGTTTAGCTCACAACAAATACTTTCTTCAAATACAACAAGTAATTATCTTAATGCAGTTTATTGGTTTTTGCAAAGACGTTTTATTACCAAATGTACTATAATCAGTCCAGAAATGGTACTTACCTATATCTGGAAACTTTATTTAAAATCGTAAAGATTCTGCTTTCTGAAAAAAAATGCTTTTAATCTAATACAGTGAAGTATCGTCACATCACTCGTTAACAAGTTTAGAGGTTTTAATTTGTATGTTTAGCATTAGCTAACAAATCATAATTTCGATTAAGGAGAAAGTATGCCGCATCGTAAAGTAGCAGTAAAATACCTTTATCAATGGTTAAATTTTTCAACAATTCTATTCTATAAACAACATTTCTAAGCAATTTTCGTAATGTAGTTACAATTACTAACTAAATAATATGGGTTTCTTACATTAGCGTAGACTACATATAGGCGAACATATGTATATGCAAATAAATAGGGATTACGTCGGAAGTAATTATGTTACGTAACACAACCCTGAACTTGCATTGAGGCTGGTCGCGGCCAACGAACGCAGATTGCGATTATAGCGCGACCGTATCAATTTGATCGTTTATAAAATGACTTAAAAGATTGACTAAGACTAAAGGTAGTTTAGATTTTCCAAATTGAATATCTAATGCACTAAAAGACCGAAACAGCAAGAGGTCTTTTACACTATCAAAAACTTTTTAAACCAATTTATTATTCCTTATTAAATTTAAATCTGTTCTGTTTCTGTTTTTCTGAAATATATTATTTATATATAAGTATAGTATAATTATAATATATAAATCAAAAAACTTAAAAGGTGATAACATATATATATATATATATATATTTGGTATCTCCTTTTAATTTTTTTGATTTTGATTAAATTGAAAAATTAACCAAACGTACTGGTTTTGGTTAATTTGTTTTATTAATCCAATACTATTTTGCACCAAAAAGCCACCACTTTTTTCTGTCAAAAAGCCATCTTGGGTTTTTGAGACGGATATAATAATACCTTAACTGTCGTAATCGTACGAACAAATATACAAGATACGCACGAAAAACATAACATTCTTCGCAGTCGGGTAAAAAAGGATTAGATTGGATTTATCGAAAATATTCAAAAAAATTATCTCAAAATACAGCTCGATAACCAGAACAAAATTTCTATAATATTGTCCCTTTACTTAACAATAACTTACATTACACGAATAAGACTATTTTACTCTATTTGCCAAAAATTTAAAAATAATAAATTATAATTGCACTAACATTTAAGCACCTTCATTTATTGTAAATTATTGTGTAGTTTGTTAGCTGGCGTGGGAGTGAACACGGACGCTTCGATTAACGACGACAGCCATTATCGTATAAGGAGCTACAATGCTTTTGCCAAAGAGGCCAATTGCTATCTGCAAATATTGAAAATTCGAGAGAGAAGTCTAAGAGCGTTATATTAGAATAAAAAGTTTCGTGAATTGTATTCATAATTGTTAAAGATGCATACGGTTTTGCATTCATGTGCATTCTACAGACGGCCGACTAGTTTCGAAATCGTAAGGCCCTTTTTTATACTTCCTCTGAATACACACCTAAATAAAATCTTTAATAAATATAGTGTGGTAGCAGACAATTACTTTATTTAATAATTATCATATAACAGAAAGAAGGAAAAGATTAGGATGTCATTTATTTTGTATTATTTACATTGAATCGTCTGCAAGTAATCTCAAAGGTTCAGTTCTAAACTGAAATCATACTTAGAACAACTGTATGTATGTAAAACGCATGTAGAGGTTTCATGTGGGCTGAATCAACATCATTCGACTTGCGTGGGACAGTAATTGATGAAATGATAAGGTACTAAAGTCAACATCTATATAGATTTGTACCAAGAATCAACCTTGTAAAAATATCATCATCATTTGGTAGTCCACTGTTCGATATAGAGAGAGCTTTAGAAAGAAGATTTCGGCCTACTATATATAGCACGCTGGCCAGACGGGTTTGTATAGGGTTTGTTTAAATTTTTCCTTTTCGTTGCAGTACTGTTGTCCTGTGTTGTTTGCTTTCTAGTCGGCTCGCAAGGCACCCACGGCACGATTTTTTTTTAACTTAAGGTTAATAGAAGTACTTATTATAATTACATGAAACGGTTAAAAAAGAACTCATTTAGTTATCAATTTACGGTTTCATTACCTTGTTTCAATTATGTTAAACTTGTTCGCAACGGTCAAGTAGTCATAGCCACTGCATACGTTTTATCTGGATCTGTTATTGACGCTAGTCATTCAACGACATGAATTAATTATAACAAGTTAGATACTGAAATACTACTCGTAACATTTCTAACCAACCGTTAAGTGGAATTTTGCAATTAATTACTTTAGGTTTTGACCTATTTAAACGAATATTATATATGTACAATTAACTACAAAATAGACGACGCTGGTGGACTTCATTAGTAACTATTTATCATAAAATAGTCATTAATAAGTGCTCAAAAATTAAACATGCCAGAAAGTAATATCTTACAAATACAAACTTCACCGTTTTCATTTTGCAATCAATAACGGTTATCTGTACGAGTGCTAATACGAGTAATCTAGCTAGCTAATCACGAGATGCAACAAACTGTTGCAATAAAAATAAACTACGAATCGACTGTCTGATAACTATTTGAGTGTTTTTTTATTGTCTTCTAACGCAATGGAAATTCGTTTTTTTTTAAACAAGACACCTAACCAATCGCATAGTGTGCAAGTTTATAAAAAAATGTTCAGATAGCAAAGAGCTAAACAGCTCGAGCTTATCGCGATCGGTTACATCACGATGTAGGGATCATGTCAAGATCGCGAACCAAAGATTTGTTCCTATGGTAAACATGTCTGTTGTTGCCCTAGCACTGACCCTTTTGCCGTACGTAACGGATTTCCAGCAACTGTTTGCTAAATTTGTAAATCTGCCATGAATTATAGATAGATTTACATTTTACTGCATTATTTTAGTAGACATCATCATCTGCCTACCCTTATCCCAATTTTATTTGGGGTCGGTGCAGTAAGTATGATTCTTCCATTTTACTTTATCATGCTTCATCTCACATAAAGAGTGTAACAGTAGACGTTAGAATATGTATATGTTTTTTTTAAATTTCATTTAAGAAGTTAACCCAAATCTTTGAAATAAGCTAAGACGTTAGGAGTGTTTAGTAAGTACACTGTGATGCTGTACAGTCATTTTGCAATAAATAATGGTATAGTGTTAATATATCACGAGATGCAACAAACTGTAGCAAAAAAAAAAAAACTACGAATCGATTGTCGTGTTTGTGTACACAAGTACACATTATTTTAATAGTATCGTAGTATACACAAAACTGTAAAATGTTATTTTCTCTTTGAAACAAAAGAATTCCAATAAACTTAGATTAGATTCAAACTAGATATATATTCTAAATTGTAATAATACTAACATAAATACAAAGGAAGAACAGACGATACGTGACGAACGATGTTTATCCTAAAACCGCTGGTCAAATTAGATCGTTCAACTTGAACGTGACATCCGGCGCTATTTTCGTAGAAAATGCCAATCCGAGGATCTAACCTGACTCGTTTCGACCTCTCCTGAATCATCTGTATACCGCTGTACCTTCTTATCGACAATAGAATCAGTACGGTACCGGCGGTCAAAAAGAGCAGTAACTTTGCAAACGACAGTGTCCGGCTTCGTAATGATATTCCGACATAATAGTGTTCTTAGCCAACTCTTGTACTTATTCATGGTAAGCATCAATTTGATATAGTCCCAAATTCAACTGTAATAAAATCTAAAGTGAAATCAAACTCGTGAAGAACTGAATTTGTGGGTAAAATGATTTTTGTACTCTTGATTCTCTCTGTTTTGATGTGATGATTTGAACTCTTGATTTAAAATAATTGATTTTAAATCAAGAGTTAGACACAACGTTGACTAAATTTACGTTGGAAGTGAAAGTTTATTACGATTAAATATAAGAACAAAAACTGTAAAATCGAAAAAAAAAAACAACTATAAGCATGATTGTGAAGGTCGGTTACTGCCGCTGTGTTATGATTTTTCGAATCTCGTTTTGTGTTTGAAACGGGGAAAATTTTAATAACTACACAAACTTATGCATGATTCTTTTATTAAATATTTGTGATAAATTACAGCGAAGGTACTTAGCAGTTAATCATTATTTTATCTGGGTAATAACATGCTTATTCATAAAGATTATCTATGTCCGAATCTAATCGCTGTATTCGCGTGCCTTCAAGCAAATTAGAAATGCGTTATAAGAAAAGTTACTTATATTCTTTATCACTCATAAATAATTTTTAAGACAATTTAGCAGTAGACGTTAGAATATGTTTAATGTATATGATTTTTTTATTTCATTCAAGAAGTTAACCCAAATCTTCTAAATAAGCTAAGACGTTAGGAGTGTTTAGTAAGTACACTGCAGCCGGATTCTAATAACTGATAACAGTTATTTTGTTACTATATTGAAGTGATTCCCATTAAAGCATAGTTCTTTTGTGTGAAGTAAAAGAAAAAAGTAACAAATACAAAGTGCGGTTATAGACATAAAAAGTTCTTTGTTGTAAGTTACTCGGTAGTATGCGGGTTACTGGGGCAGATCAACGAATACTTATGATAGATTATCGGGATTATCAAAGTAAGCATCTTTAGCAGGTGAGGATTATACACTACTCTCGACAAGGAGCAATATATCAGATTACAGCTAAACGAGTGACCCGCCCTGGCTTACACGGGTAGCAGATCATAGATGCCTACATCTTCGAATCGTATCGTAAACGTTAGGTTGAGCAAGTCTTTAGATTAAAATATATATAGCTTTACGCGGCGACCTTCAGTAAAGCTCTGTAAAAGATCCGATGATTAAAGATTTTACTATTTAATTAATTCTTTCTCATAAATAATTACCGTTTTCAAAACTGTTTGAAAAATCGTTTGGTACATTTAGCGTCTATTGCGATATCATATATCTATTGTATATAAATATAATGTGAGAAAGAATATATATAATTGCAATTATATTTTTAAATTTTTATATCTGTACCGTGGCTTACGAAAACTTAACGTCTAAAATTAAATAAAAGCAACAAAAAGTGAAACGAAATGTTCTCTTTTGCCACATAATACTAAAAAGGATAATCGACATTTGACAGGTTTATTAACCTGATCCAGCAACAAACGTGACGATGTAATCGGCAAATCGCTGGGTACATGACCGTGAAGTATTGCTACCTTCATGAACGAATGCGCAAAAATCAAGTCATCAACATTGCAATATGTAGATACGTCCAAATTATCTGGTTTTTAGAGATGATAAGACTTACTGGATCTCTAGCCATCCTACAATCTCTTAAGTAATATGTGAAATTAAAAACGTCATACATAAGAACATTGACACAGAAACTTGTTGGCAAGATAAACGGGATGCATGAGATTGTGATTCGCGATTTGAGACCAATGTTGAACGATTTCTCATCATTGTTACAATAACTAATGACAACTCGGATGAACTGACGCGCTTTCATCACAAATTGTTCTATGTACCTTCTTACAACTAAGACTTACAAAACAGTCTCATTCGCAAACGTCCTTTTGTATTCGTGTCGTTTTTGTTATGAATGAAGAGATTCATAAATCATATTTTCTTTGATTTCAGACAGTGCCTCTTCCTGCTGGGTCGACGTCAGTTCTGGCGAAGCCAACAAAGTACCACTACTATCCTCATAATCAACACATCTATTTGTTACCTGAATGCGCCATACAACAGGTAATTGACACTATTGTTCTAAACATGACACACGTAAAATAAAAAAAGGCAAATAAATGTCGACGAACGCTTTGGCCAGTTCCTAGATTATCGCGAGTTAGTTCTTGAAATTTTGGCTTTCTAAGACAATGGTTTTTTTCTCTCATAAACGTGTAATAGCTTTTGATCCAGATAAGGTGCAATGCCACAAAGTTTTTGGAAAAACAAAGGCAACGATCAGCGCGATATCGTGAATTACCTACATTAGTTCCAATTTATAAGTGTTAAAAATCTATTCGGCATTTTGTACCGTATAAGTTTTAGCTTTACGGAACTCTTTACGGATCTAAAATAGACAACTTACATAATGAAATATTATTTTCCAGGTTTGCAACGCCGTGTATGTGCGGCTCAACTACACGCAGCCTCTTTGCGCATGCCCAGCCCGATACCGAGACCCGTGTTCAGCCAGTCTTAACGCCGATGACTTGCATACTACGCGACTTACCACAGATTCCAAAAAGAAGGTAATGGTAGTCCTTTAATTAGTTATACTGATTTCAAAATTTCTTTTTGTTTGTCGTCTGATTTAATTATAAAACTAAATTTGAATTCATAGCCAGAAAATTCTTGTCCTAATTTTAAAAATTCTAATTTTATCTCGCAGCTTCGTACTTGATAAATCTAGTATGGGAAGTTTGTTATTTTGCAAGTATCACTCTTTTGTACATCTTTAAAGTCTTTGTATGTCCAATGGAATTTTTAATTACCGGTATTGGTTTTTTAACTATTTTATTTGTACGTACGTACGGCTATTTTTTATGGAAACATTATTTAATTTAGACCGATCACAAATTAGATGACTTTAAGTTTTTGTCGTTGGGATCAATTTGTTAGTATCTATTTATAGTATTAGATTTCATTTGAAGCCTATTGTTAGATACAAGCCGATTTGTTCTCACGAGCTAATGATGTTTATGTCATGGTTTGCTAAATAATAGACAGTTTGCAGGTACTTGTCTTGTTAACTGAACCGTATTAAGAATGATAAAATTCATTAATTTGTTATTCGAACTGTGGTACTTAGTTTTATTAGACAGGTTTCGACTTCTTATTCTTATAAATTTTCTATGTGGACGTTACGTGGAGACATAATTTAATTCTGATGCATGATATTCGCGACACTTAGTTTGGTGTTGATAAAGTTGTCAGACGATTATTAGTTTTAAAACAGCTTTTTCATAATTCTGTGTTAAATATCTCAAATAGTGTCATCTTTGTACCAGACATAGAGTACAGATAGAGGTATTTTAAACATTCACATTTTACCACCTGAAATTTGTTTCACTAACATAATAAGGGATAATAAACTAATTGCCGTTATTCAGGCACTTTAGGAATGAAACGAATGGTTGTAAGGAAAGACGAAAAGACAATAGAAAGAAATGAAAGTATTGTATACATGTATCGCTTAAGTAATCTCCAGTATCTGGCTGGTGCCAGTGCTGGTTGGAAGTCTTAGCTCGATCATTTATTTGACATGTTTTATTACACAGTATGCGAGTAAGGCGGTGACACTGGTGAAAACTTGCGAGGCAGTCTCAGAGATGCGTGAATGCCGAGCGCCGCGAGATTGGTCACTATTGGCATTACAGAACATCAGGACCGGCAAGTCTCACTACCTGGTTATTTGCAAATGTCCCGAAGAACATATATTAGGTAACTATTTGTTTAATATTGTTACAATTAGAAGGGTTAATAAAACAAAATGGAAAAATGTTTCTAATGTGTTACTATTATAAAAGTACATATGATGTTGTTAAGCAGTAAAATAAAAACACCCACATCAAAAACCTATTTAGCTCTTAAACTTTACCACCAGTTGTCAAATATGTTGGAATTTTAGGGCATTTTTCTACGGCAGCGACATAGCCAGGGTTAGGTCGTAGAACTTTATCGCGTCTTGAATGGAGAGGCGTACTAAGGAAAATCTATCTACAATGCAATGTAACATAAGATTTGATACAACCACAGCTAAAAACCACAATAGCAAAGCTTGGATTTTCTAATTAGAAAACTACCTGCCTTCCTCGTTCGGAAATCGTTGGATATATTTGTAACCAGAAAATTCAAAGTCGCAGTAGAAGTCATTATCTGACTTATACGTACTACACGTATAAGTCAGATAATGACTTCTACTGCGATAAATAAAAAAAATATACCTATAGATTTAGTAGAAGCGATAACATTGATTAGCTTCTCAGTTTCTTAGATGTTTCGGGGTCTACGACACACGCTGAACTTAGTATGGTTATACTTATGTTTGTCAAAAACCCGAAATTATCAACCAGTCTCTCTATATTGGCAGTTAGATTATTATTATTGCTAAGCATTTATTAGACCTATGTGTAAGTTATCAAAGTCTTATTTGCATTCGATATAATTTTAATGATGGAACAGACGAGAAACATATTTTTTTGGAATTGTACTCGTAACTGAAGAACGGTTGTGTTCAACTATGAATGAGTACACGTATGTATTTATTTATGACCGGTCTGTTGGTATAGTGATTGGTGATCCAGACAAACTAGAGGTCGTTTGGTTCGATTCCCACCCAGGGCGAAAAAATATGTGATGAGCACAATCATTTGTACTGGGTGTAATGTATCTAGAATATGTATTATTTAGAAATTATACATGTTTATCAGTGGTCTGATTACCATAGCACAGGCTCTGCGTAGTTTGGGATAAGACGGCCGTCTGTGAGATGTGTGAAGTGTTATTAATATTTTTTATTAATGTTTCAGAAGGGCCAATGTCGCATGACCAGCCAACCTATGCCTCGGTACCAGGGATCAGAGTGTACGGCATGATGTGCGTTCGACCGACCACTGCTTATCATTCACGTGAGTACCCCTACATGTACTATTATTTATATGAAACAACAATATCACAAACTGTACAAATATAATACAAGTCCCTTTCCATTACAAATCACTATTTGCTGTTTACGCTAGCTAAGTACTTAGGTAAGCGTCTTTTCTGAATACTTATCCTTATCACTTATTATCCGTATCCTTAAAACTTCGCGTACGGAGGAATAGATAAACTAGTCTAGCAGGTCTGCTTATCCGAAGAAAATTACTTGAACAATAGGTCACGTATCAATTGGTACTTTTACATTGCAATATAGTATGTGTCACATTTGTTTTAATCTCGTATGTACTTATAATCAAGAGTTTTATTTTATTTTATTGTTTACAGCTTACAAGAACCGTTTTACCTCTGGCTTGAGTATCCAGAGTACTACAGGAGCCTACAAAGTGGACTATTCTCAAACGCACTCATATGCAGACAAGCAGCCTGTATACAACAGATACCACTCACACAGCTACAGCGATCCATATTACAACAGGAGATCTCGGATTGCAAGAGTTAGGCGGTCAACCGAAGATTATCCCCCATTTCCATGGTACAAAGTTATCGAACTAGCACGGTCATTACATTGGATTAATTAGGATAAACCTATATACCCATTTTTAAATTTAGAATTAAGAAAAAAGTTTGTTGGCTCCATGGAGGCTTTATATTAACCGATTCCGCCTCTTTGGATTCAACATATACTTGGAACGCATTTAATGTCAGGATGCTTTTTTCGCTTACGTATTCCGAATTTAAGTTAATGTCGACTGCTTACTAACTTTCCCACTCTAAACATGTCTGTTTAGTGTGGTGAAATTTAATCAAATGCCTACGAAATACTCAGTACAACCTGCATTTATTAGAATAATACATTGAAATAAATCGTTTAAGGTCTTGAAATGTAAGGTGTCTTCAGTTTGTTTGAGATGAGAAACGAATTGTTATCGGTGTGGAATGACTAATTTGGTAGTGTTGCAGAGCCGCCATTTTGATTCACATTTTGTCATAAGTCTAAAACCGTTTTACAATAATTTGTCATATCTGCAATGTAAATCCATAATCCATTTCAAAGCTTTATTTGAACTAATAAAGAATAACGCTGAATGAATAAGATTTGCACAAGTAGCAATTGACTCATTCAAAGATTTTTATTAATTGTTTTATTCGGAAAAGGTAGGTAAATCAATATTGTTGATATGAATTAATATCAATCACATTGTAAGAAATAGATAGAACCATGACTATTAGGTATAAGATTGGATTTAAAAACTATAATAATATCCCCACCAATGGTGAATAATTAAAAAATACATTTTTATTGTACACAAAAGAAATGTGATAAGAAACCAGTGTTTAATTTTGTGGTACTTTCCAGTGCATTTATATGTAGGTATTTAAGTTAATTTACAATAGATATGTAAGATCATATTTATACTTAACATAACAAATTGTAAATAGTAGTGGTAAAAATTACAATATTTGTAATTAGAAGAAATAAATTTAACTGATCTTTTATTCTTATATATTTTTAAACATTCATTTGTGGAACATCGGTAAGTTTTCAGATCTTAAATGATGTGAGTACATTTTTTTACATTGTGATATATTCCAAATGAGATTCAACAAACAGTTTTCTCAGATGACAATATTATAGAATTTGAGTGCCATTCCTAAAATCCTTCTGAGAACAACCATCTCCCTCGAGCCATGATTGGAGTAGGGTCACACCAGGGCCTCAATTCTGCTATTTTAATATTGTGTCAATGGACTGTCGATTGAATGTCATCGGTATAGTTTTGCACTTTTCTTATTTTACTAATTATGTAGTATATACGAGTACATATCCGTGTGGTGACGGATTAAGAATACGGAATGTCACCACCCCTTTTCATCCCGTGGGTGTCGTAGGAGCCGACTAAGGGAACAAACTACGCAGGACAACAGCACTGCAAAGAGAAGGAAAACCTGACACAAACCCTATACCAACCCGTCTGGCCAGCGTGGTATAGTAGGTCAAAACCTCCTTTCTAAGAAGAGGCCTATGTCCAGCAGTGGACTGTTATAGGCAGTTGGTGGTTGGTGGTGGTGGTATGACAATATTGTTGATATCACAATTGATGACCTATATTACTATATCGACAGTCTATTAACACTGGTGGCTTGGCGGTAACATAAAATAGCAGAATTGAGGCCCTGGTGATTTATATGTGTACCTATAGAATGTCACCGCCTATCATACAAGTTAGGTGACAGAAACAGGGCACAGTTTAAATCGAAAACTCGGTCATTTTTTTCATTTCTAGCTAAGGCGGTCTACGCCAAAAATCTTTCATAATTCTGTTCTTATGAAAAATAAATTTTACTTTTTCTCCTTACAACGTAGTCGAGATGGTGAGAGACGATCCGGTTATACAGGAGTGTAAGTCTTAATGCTGGCTGCTTATACAATGGAAAATTTAACAAACGCTATAAATGTTGGTCTATTGGACTTATTGTTGGTTGAATATGACTGCACAGATGGCGTAGTGGTTAAAGCGGTCGCCACGCCACTTCCCACTACGCTGAGTGTTGTGGGTTCGATCCCCACATGAGACGACACCTTGTGTGATTCACAAATTGTTGTTTTGAGTCTGAGTCTGGGTCTGTTTGTAAAGTCCCCCGCGACACAGGATACTTTTTTTTTGTTTTTTTTGAGCGCGCGACAGTACCATAATGGGCATCATATTAGTTATGATGCCCATTATGGTACTGTTTAACTCACGAATCTACTTCTGGGATTCCTGAACTATGCGTAACACCGTGCCGTAAATCACTGATTGGGTTCAGACGCATCTGTTCTATAATGAATGTATGTAATGAATCTATAATGACCACTGGTTAAAAGTTTTATTTCGATTTTTAAATGGGATTTGAGGGTTTGGTACCCTCAAATCCCATTTAAAAATCGAAATAAAACTTTATGAAATGTATTTCGATGTCACATAATGGATACTAGTCTATGAAAATAGGTTAGTTTCTTATTCTATTATATAAATGACTTACCTAATACTTTCTGGTCGACACTAATGTCGCAGGAATACATGGCAGCCATTAAACGTTGGGGTTGAGCTTGAAACGCTTTTCTACAGCCGTCCTTTACAGCCGACATTATTTGGCCTGCGCAAAAAAAAAACAAAAGATGTTTAAATACTCCTGAAAAAATTAAACTGTGTTTGATTACTGAAAATAATTATTTTTGTGATAATCAAGCTGTTACTTTCTTGTTACTTTATGTTGTTTCAGGTAAACTAGCCTGAAAGTCTCGATGATCACTATACCATTTCACAAAGGGCCTCTTTGGGTTCGAAATTAGTCGGGCATCTTGAAACAGCTTCAATATCGACCCCTATTACTGGTGATGGCTACCTTATCACCTTAGAAAAAACCGGTCAGGTACGAGTCGAGATTTTACGTAGAAAAATTATCTTAATTTTCAACTTTTTTATTTTTTGGATTTATTCCTTTATTTGTGTTGTAAGACGTTTCTTGTTGCCAAATTTCGTGATTCTAGGTCAACGGGAACTACCATATAGGTTGTCAATTTTGATTAAAAGCAAGGTCTTACAGCACAAGTAAAGAGAAAATTCTGAAAAATAAAAAAAGTTGAAAGTTAAGGTAAATTTTTGTACTTACAAGTTATCGCGAAATCGAAATTTGCCTATATCTTTTTATCGTGTTAACTCAGGACCTTGATTTTTATACACCTACTAGGGATCATAGACCTCAGTATCCGGTATAAATTTCAATTTGCTAGGTCTACCCGTTCCTGAGAAAATCAGTGATGACACACGGACAGAAGGACATCTTATAAGGGTTCCTTTTTTACCTTTTGAGATACGGAACCCTAAAAATGAAGCTGTTGGCATAAGTTAAACAATCAGAAATGAGGTTTCGGTCGGTAAGCGGGCATTGCAGCCTATTAATGCTCGTAAAATAATTTATATATCACTCGCTCCATGCCGCATAGTTCAAAAACTTTATATAATATCTATGGCATAGTCAAATAGTAAGTATTTATATAAATTTGGTGGTGTGGTGACGGGTTAGGAATACAGTGTCACCACCCCTACTCATCCAGTGGGTATCGTAAGAGCTGACTAAAGGAGCAAACTACGCAGGACAACAGTACCGCACAGAGAAGAAAAACTTGACACAAACCGTATGCCAACCCGTCTGGCCAGCGTGGTATAGTAGGTCAAAATCTGCATGTGTCCAGCAGTGGACTAGTAAAAGCTGTTAATGATGATTAATATTTAATTTATGACATATATGGCATAGAAAAACAAAATTTAGTAAGTATATAATTTAAAAACTTACCTGAAAGTGGTCCAAATGTATATGAAACATCTTCTCCACTTTCTTTCTCTAACTTCCACTCTTCAACACAGAACGCAACTCCCATCATTGGCTCATCACAAAGCGGCCCGGCTAACGACGCCAATTGGAAGCCATTTACAAAACTACTCTCATATTCGAACCTAGGATCTTCCTTTAGTTCTTTTTCATGATGTAAATACTTGGTGAAATAATCATTGGTTTGGTTAAGAAGCAAATTCGGACCACAATTTCTGGGGCCTACGGACCAAATTTGATCGACAATATCTTTCCATTCTGGGCTTAATTTAGAGCAAATGCTTGTAAGTTCATCTTTGAATGCTTGTATAAGTTTTAGCATACGGTCCGACAGTGTATGTTTTGTACCATTAATTTGGAGTTCTCTAAATTTAGTTTCTATATTATTTTTAGTTAGACCTTGTAGAGTTTTAATATGTTGTGAAATTGCTTTAAGTAAATCACTTGATTTATCTAATAAGTTTGTTATTTCACTAGGTATTGGTTTTGCTCTAATTTTTATTCTGCTTTGTTTGTTATTTGTATAGACGATTATGACTGGATCTATGTCTTTACTAATTTCTTTGTCTATAACGTTTTGTGCATCTATTTCTTCATTAGCCATATCAATCTTAGGTGGTTCTACAATGGTTTCTCTGAAGGGTACTATAGGTTCTGAAACCGTTATTGGAATTTTTGCGTAGTTATTCCTGAAAAATAAAATTGTATTACATAATATTCGTAATTAAATACTTAAACAAGTTTTGCAGAATTTATGTTAAAGATGCTCTGCAGCAGTGTTTGCCGCAGAAGACTTTTTTCTGAGGCTGGACTTTACCGAATGAGGCTGGAACGAAATCGTTTCTTTTCTCTTAGTTATTTCTGTGAAATTGGTCTTGTGAATTGATGGTATTGGCCCTTAGCACAGAAACAGTGCAATTACGAGTAATTGTTTTTTACATGAAACTAAGATATTGGATTGACTGACATAAAGTACGGGTAAATCCGACCGGATTGGGGACCGGATGTTTTAATAACAGCTGTTACCGGATCCTGCATATTTTAGATGCTTTAGTCGGTTCGATTCCGATACACCGCAAACCCCGGTAGGGTAAAGGCCCGAGAGGACCTTTCCACACGTAATAACAAGGCCGGACTAACCAGATACTGGATAGTAACGGAACATATAGAATGGGCGAGACTTCTACTGTAAGTCTCGCCCATTTTCGCATCTGACATCTCACTTGAACTACCAGTAACATCAACATAATAACCATCTGGCGGCCAACTCTAGCACCGCGCGCGCACTTCTTGCTTTTTTTTAACTACATGGAATATAATTCTGTGTCCTCATGGCTTTACAAACGTACATGCAACGGACACAAAGAACACCTAGACTCAGCACAAGAATTAGTCGATCACACAAAGTGATGCCCCATGTGGGGATCAGGCCACAACACTTAGCGTAGCAGGAAGCGGCGAGGTCATCCGTGCAGTCATTCCTATTACATATGTACATCCGTCTTTTTTTAACCAACCCTCCTCACAGATTACAGGAGAGAGTGAGGAAAAATGTTACACGTCAATAATGAGTCCATTCACGGCAATTTACAGCTTAAGCTTAGTTTTTGTTACCAGTGTGTACTTCACATCTATGCTTAAAGAGGTTTACTTACTTGAGGTCCTCAAGACATCGCTCTAAGTGAATTTCTCCAGCCGTGACTAGTACATGTTCTCCGGTCTCTTGCAGCAATACTTGCACGCAAGAATCCGCTTGATTTAGCAATTTCAATCCTAGAACATAAAAGAATAGGGACTATAAATTATTATTTTTCTAATAGTGAAAAACAATACGGTAGCAAATGCAACGTAAATATTGTTGGTAAAAAAATATACTTGCAACATCATATACGTATAGTATGACATCATAATACATAGTGATCTACGATAAGAAGTTGGAAAGTTCAAGAGTAGAATATCTAGTCCAGTCTGTTGCTTCACTTTCTATCATGTGAAATGGAAAAGAACTCCCCTATTCCATTACCGAATGAAAAAAAAAACGAAATGACCGAGAACAGTTAATGAGTTTTCTTAAAATGAGACTATGATCATTCCTTGTTTATTTGTCGATTAATTTTTTTTTAACATCCACCATATTGTAATTGGAATGTAAACAACATATAACTGGTATAACGATGCAGCAAGCAAAACCTTTTAAAGCTTTTGATACCCATCCTACTAATAGGTTTCTACAAGACTTATAAAATAAATGTACTAAATAATTCCAAAAAACACTTTGATTTGCTTTATAAATGAAAACGATCTTCCCTGAAAATGGCTACACTCTACCAATGAAAATACACTTACAACTATACCATTGAACAACCATTCAATCAATTTACTTTCCTAAATACCACTATAGCAAGCAGCAGCGCTAATTGAGTCTGTAAGGTTGTGCAGTTACTAACGACTTTTATCTAGTTTAGCTGAACCCAGTTGATTAATACTATCAAAAAAATACCTTTAACTAACTGCGGCAATTGTGAAGGATAAGTAGGCTCCAATGCAACTCTTAGTATAGGCACTACAGAATATTGCATTTCACTAAATGCTGGACAAGCAATCGTGCTGCTCAATGTAGCCGTTCTTAGGACATGGTCTTCTAGGCCGCCAATACCTGGAATGTTATAATAGAATTATGAACAGGGTTATTATGACACTTAGACGACGTCATCGACAACTAACTTTATCCGAGTAAGTAAAAAGCAATAGTTGCAGTGTCAATAACATGTGAACATTCAATAACTCATTTTATGGTTTCCCTTATAAAATGTTTAGGGTTGATTTTCATTGTTTCAAGAGAGTCGTAATTTTTCTGTTATTTTAGAATACGATACTGTCGGGTCCGTACCCGGCAGTATCATTCTACCTTCTGCGAAATTGGTATGACACCCAATAATACACATTGTCAGCAACATTTTTTTTTACGCAGAAAGAACCAAGCGTTAAAGTTCGAAATTAAAAATGAATTAGAGAAATTGGCAATACAAAATGATTTTGTATACTGAGATGGACAGATATACCTAACACCTATTTTTGTGATAAATTAACTTTAGATATTAGTATGATAAAATATTTCAAATACTAACCTATAATATTGCCAGCTACAGCTTCGTCAATAGCTTCCATTTCTCTTCCCATCAAAATATATAACGACTTTATTCTGCAATTAAAATTTAAACATCATTAAGTTTATAGTTGACATGAATTCCGTAATAAAAAACTTTATTTATTAAGACACTCCTTACTCTGTACAAGTTATATGTTCATCACTCATTAAATCTTTCAGCTTCTTATCAGGGTCGAACTGGTAATTCATATTAAGTATCTTGGACGGATCATGTTTGGGACCTAAAACATAAACCTTATCACCTTTCCTAAGTCTACCGCTAAATATTCTTGCAAAAGCAATAAAAATAGGTTGATCTTTGTCTTCTTCTTCTTCAATAATTTCTTTTTCTTCAACAATTTTCTTTTCTTCTGTATTAGCATCTTTCACATTTTCATTGTTCTGTTTCCTCTCCTCACGCAATTGTCTCACTCTTTCTCTCCTTATAGCCATTTCTTCTGGAGTTAAAGTCTTAGGTTTGTTTTCAGATAACATACTCTTATCAACATTAAACATTTTCGATACAAAAACAATAACAGGTCTATCATTACTACTATCACAGGCTAAAAAGTCTTCTTTTAGTTTCTGAGTTTCAAGACCAAAAGAATCAAAATCTCTTATTCTTGAGCACATTAGTTTTTCGACCTTTTCGGGTAGAATTTCTTTAGGTGAAGGCAGCTTTCTGCATACCATATTTAGTACTGTGTTAGATAATGGAAGCCATTGTACCATAAGTGACTGTAGTTGGATTCTGGCATCAGTGTGTCTTAGATCTCTAGTTGTTAGTTTAATACCAAGTTTCTCACATATGACTGGTACCTTTTCTTTCTCATTTCTCATAGCTATAGTTTCATAAACATTCCAAAGGTTGTCTAGTATCACTTGAACAAAAAGAGGTTTCTTTGCCTTTTCTTGTGCACCTTTCATGAAACGCTTTGTTTTTGTGTTGAGGTAGAAGTCACCCCAAAGCACTTTTCGGAGGATTTCATCTTTTACTCCTAAAAATAAGACAAGTGTCAAATATATAGAATTAATTTTTACTAAGCACTTAAACTCTCTCCTAGTAAAGTGTAAGATTTTTTTTTGTTGAATTAGATTTTAGGTTGACCACAATAAAATTATTTTCTAAAATTAATCCCAATTTCAAATAATTGATCCTAAGTTCACGTAAACTTTATGGAAGAGGTGTGAAACGCAGGTCAAGAATTTTTAAATACAAGATTAGTCCAAAATAAATATTCAATCCCATCATTTCCCCATAAAAAATGTTATTAGCTTTTAACTATCTAGTATATTAAACGCTACGCTCAAACAAGATACAAGCTAATAGAAACAAAAAAATGCCCACCAAGTTTGTCTGAGAACAACTTAGCAAAGGTGTGAATAGTAAAACCCCAGCCATCCGCAGCACTCGCAAAGACGACATTGCCTTGTTCAGGGGAAAAATATAAGTTGGAATCATCAGAATCTTCTAGAGCAGAAGTCCAGTCATAGAAGTTATTATCTTCTTTTTTCAAATCTTTCTTTTCCTGTAAACAAGTATTAAAATATGCATTTGAATATGAGCAAAACTTTTGCTTCTATTAACTTCTTTTGATGAACTTAACTTAATATACATATGCAAGATTAATTGTGTTATTATTCATGTATAAGTTTGTAGGTATATTAATTGTAGTATTGTGACTGAATATGACATAAAACTGAAAGAAGAGTCCTATTGCCCAGTTCCCAGGTTCTCTCAGGCCTTAAGTACGATTTCCACCCACCGGGCCGAGCCGAAGCGCGTCGGAGCGCATTTCACACCGTGCCGAAAGAAATTCAGGCTTCTATACAATAGTTAAGTTTCGTTTTTGCATGGAATTTACACTGTTTGGAACTCTGTTAGATCCGCGCGTATGCCGCGTCAGCCGGTCGGAGTCCGATCGGCTCCGCTCGGCCACAGTCGCGCGCGCTCATGTGTTGTCGACGGCCGGCAAGTTGCATCTTTCAAATTGTGCGTTGAATTGTAGACTGACAACATTTACTTATTTGTTTATTGTTTTTTGTCCAAAATACATTTAAACATCGATACAGATGAAAAACTTATCTGTTTAATAGAGAAATCCGAATGCATTTATAAAAGTCATTCACTAGTCGCTGAGAGCATGCTGGCGGATGCGCCAACATGCACCCAGGTTCCAGCAGATTGTAGCTGTCGGACGGACGCGGTCGGCTACTAGCGCATGCTCACACTGCGCTGCGCTCCAGCGAGATCCGGTTGGTGGAATTCGTACTTTACTTTGAACACATATTTTATTCATATAGATTAGATAAATATTAAATGTAATAAATTAAAATTATTCAATAATGCCCAATGACACAATACTATTAGTTTAAGAAGATCCTAGGAGTAGCTTAAGCTGATTATGTTAAAAATTAATTCGTAGTCAATTAATGATTAAAAGGCATTAGATACAAAGGTATCAACTGTGCACCATATTAAAGTATAATAACATGTTTCATAAGTAATCTCAGTGTTATTATACTGAAAACTTGACTTTTAGTATAATAATCAAAGAGCTTATAAATATAGAGAAAGAGAACAAGCGCTATCACATACAGTTGATAGACAGAGAAAGTAGATTGTTTTGGTTTTCCATCTCTCTCTGCTCTTAACACTGATGGGCTATTTTAAATGCCCTCTTCAATATCAGCGTATCTGTGCAGAGGGGAAAGAAAGAGATCAGACCAAAACAATATTCTTTCTCTGTTTAACGGCTGTACGATACCACTTACAGAGGAATATACAGTTCACTCCCTCTATTATACTATCTATATGATAATAACACACATAAATTTCATCATCATATATAATATCGAAAATGCGAGGCAACATGCAGAATGTTCTACCACACGGACTCAATAATAGAGAGTGTGCACCGTTGAGCCATTCCACCTATGACTGCTTGCTATGTCAAGCAGTAAACAAAACAACTCCCGAAGTGATTTTATCTTCATTAAATAAAAAGTAAAGATTGATAATTGTTCACTACCTCACATCATGGTAGTGGCTTTATCTATAACTATATTGTGATGACACTACATTTCTTTAAAAAAGAACTAACCTGCTTATCAAGAGTAATTTCCTCATTTTCTAAAATTTCAGTGGCAAAAAGTTCTCCCATCACAGCATTAACTTGTTCCAAGACTTGTGTTAAATGTACATATGCATCAAGTGGTGTCAATTGCATTTCTAATATAAGTCGGTCAATTTTGTTAAGAACTAGTACAGCTTTGATATTCTCTGAATATGCTTGTTTCAAAACCAATCTGGTTTGTGGACATACTCCTTCAACCACATCCACCTGAAAAAAAACACAAAGTACAAAATGAATATTTTTTTATTGGCCATATAATTATATAGGCACATTTAGCCAACAGAATAAATTGTGGAGTTCAAGACAGTTGATACTACTGAAAGGGTTTTATAAGCTACCAAAAGCTGATCAAGACCTCTCCCAACCTCCAACAAATTAAAAACCAAAAACGTCTATTAGGTCATTGGTTGGGTACATAAGGGGAAGTAATAATAAAGCAGTTTGAATAGGTTTTGGAGGAAGGTTTCTAGAACTTTTTCAAGAGTTAAGTTCGCTGTATTATTGTGTAAGCATTCGCCTCCAGTTTAGTTCCAACCAGTGTGATGTACAGAAGCCTAATGACTGATGGGTTCTCTAAGTCGTAGGTGTTGTGTAAAACAAATCCTAAGCATCTGAATGATTTTCTAAACCAAGAAAAAGCATGATCATCAAATATTAAATGTTCCTCAAACCAGTAATTGTTTGATCGGCTAAGCTGTTTAAGGTGTTATATAGAAAAGGTTCTGATTTTCTAGAATAGGGCATACTGAAACACTTATTAGTATTGAAAAGAAACTTGATTTTAATGCTCCATTGATGAATTATGTCAATATTATTTTATATCAGTTCACAAATATCATGGGTGGTTTTTTCATAATCATTTAGTGGGCATTTTACAGCTGCACCCATAAGTGAAATTCCAGATTCATTAAGCATAGTTAAGAACAGGAGTGGGCCTTACACTGATCCTTGACTCACACCAGACAGTGTATTATAGTGTTGAGACTCAAAACAACCATGTCTAACAAAACCATACTGGGCATCAGACAGAAAAACATTAATGTGGTTATAATAATTTTTATACATATTAATATTTTTCTATCTGATATTATATTATAAGCATATACTCAATATAATACAAGCTCAAAAACTTTAGTGACAGATGCCAGGACAGAGATTAGTCTGTGGCTATGTTTTGGGGATAGGTATCACACCCAATATTTCTTGAGAAACAATTAGTGACTATTTAACAAAGCAAAACTAAGAAATTGTGTTGTCTATTGTTATTGGCACATATCTTATTTTAAAAGAGTATTATGTGGTGCAGATATGATAATATTTCATAGCCTTCCTGTGATATTATTGTTGATATTAGGAAGTAAAAACAACACCTATATATATCCTTGAGGTGTAATATTACTATTAACTTGCAAATTATAAGACTTACAATTAAAACAATGCTCAATTTGGCAGGTCTAACACGGAAACAGTAAAAATACTTACCACAACAATTGCTCCATCACAAAGCCTCACAGCTGTTGAGACTTCACTCGAAAAATCAATGTGCCCCGGAGAGTCTATCAAGTTTACCAAGTACTCCTGCTGATCTACAGAGTGATACAAGGATATACTACTGCTTTTCATAGTTATTCCTCTCTCTTGTTCATCAGGCCTGCTGTCAAGGTAACGCAGCTTCCCCGACATTCTTTGCGATATAATACCATTACTAGATATCAAGGAATCTGCCAAAGTAGTCTTTCCATGATCCACGTGGGCCACGATGCAGATATTTCGAATGTTAGTGGGTTTGTTTTGAAGTTCCAAAAGTTTTGAAGAGTCTACAAGCCGCATTTTGAATAGATATGACGCTTCTTGTGGGTGCAACCAATGATCAATAGAGACTTACTGAACTGACAAAATCGAATGTTTATTCGTCAACAATATTGTTATAAAAACTACAAGATAATTGCACAACATGAGCAAATCCTACTGCGACAATATTACTAAGTGACATTGACAGTGACACTAGTCCAGACCGTTCAAAAAGAATCACCTTAGGTTTGCTGTCACTAAAATGAAATAGTGGCAATTAACTGCAACTTTTAAATTAAAAGATAATGGTTAATGTGTCGAATTAATATTTAGTCATACTTATTTTAAAATGTTGAGTATTTTCCTATCACTGATAAACTTTTGAGAATTTTGCTTCGTGTGTCGATTTAAGAACAAAACCTATAATGTCACATTAATTCGCGTTTACAGATCTAGTTTTAATGAGTTTAATTCGAGGATCCCGACGTCAAAAAAAAGTTACAGAAGTGAGTGGACTTCAAATTGCAATTTATGAACACAATAAATTGAAAACAACGTACTGGGATGTTCAAGTTGAAGAAAATTATGAATAATTTACATTGGTATTTATTAAGTAGTACCAAAAACGGGGTACATTTTTCCAATGAAATTTTAATTTTGTGAAATATTGTAGGTAGGTACCCACTTAGGATTGCGTATATATTTTTGTGACAATAAGGTGGGTCTAGTTCATGATATCGGCAAGCACTACATTGGTCGTTGCTATACCGAAAACGTTCTATCAATACAGAGGGACAAGTGCGAGTTTATTTCACTTCTACTCGATCGTCACGGTGACCGCGTTCGGCGCTACGATTCTCCACCAATCGCAACACTAAATGCACTCGCCATCGAGAGCGAGTCGATGTGAAATAAACTTGCACTCGGCCATTAGGTTCACTTTCAAAATAATCATGTGTCGATATGATTGATTTAATAAAAAAAAATGCAGTTACAATACGGAATCATTTTTGGTATTGTAACATAATTTATAAGTTCATTATTTTTGTTGCCTGACAGCTCTGAGTCATTTACTCAGGCCCGGATCTAGGGGGTGCCAAACCTCGGCACCCGAACTGGGCGGCAGTTTCAGGGGGCGCCAAATTTATAATATAATATGTTTTAAATAAAAAAAAAACAATGAAATGTTATGTTTCAATCAATTTCATATTTGTGAGTTTTTTAAGTTACTTATCTCAAATGCTGGAGAGAGGGGGCGCTATATTTGAATGGCCTGTTGGTCTAGTGATTAGTGACCCAGACTGCTACTCCCGAGGTCGTGGGTTCGATTCCCACCCACGACAAACAATTGTGTAATGAGCACGGTCATTTGTTCTGTGTCTGGGTGTAATTTATCTTTAATATGTATGTATTTAGAAATTTATAAGTATGTTTATCAGCAGTCTGGTTCCCATAGCACAGGCTCCGCCTAGTTTAGGATCAGACGGCCGTGTGTGAGATGTGTGAAAATACTATTATTAAGTTTCTGCCCCGGTTTGAAAAAATCGTAGTTCAGTGGCTGCATATACTCACCCGGAAGTTTTACGATGTTAGCTAGAGTAGGATCATTATAATATATGAACCTTTTGATGTAGCTGGCTGTGAGTCGTGCTCCTTCGAACGAGTGCTATTCGAGACGTCAGAGGTCGAGACTGGGCCTTAATTCTGCTATTTTATGTTAACGCCAAGCCACTTTCATTCCATTGACATCGGTCAAAATATCAGTATTCTACTAACATAAAGTTACAGTGTCAATAGACTGTCGATATAGTAAAATAGGTCATCAATGTTGATATCAACAACGTTGCAATACATGGAAAATTAAATATATCATTTTCTTACGAATTTTAAATGTACCGTTTACCAAACTATCAGTGACAAGTCATCGGGGGGTCATTGGTCTTACAAAGTTAGTAGTATAGGAAAAGTGCAAAACTATTCCGACGACATTCCATCGTCAGTCTATTGATACAATATTAAAATAGCGGAATTGAGGTCCTGGTTATCTCTGGACTGATAACTCAAATATATAAGCATTGTAACGTGCATTTGCTCGATTGTTCATATTTGAAAACTACATAATCCAATGCAAGATAATTAATAAAAAAGTGAAGATTTGAGTAACATGTTACCATACCTAAGATAACTTCCTAACGCTTATCATCTTTCTCCCAAACAAAGATTACCCTTTATTTTTTTATAAAATTGAGATATTTGCCACACACACAGAATAACTTAGATAGGTATATAATTTTATCAACTGACAGCAAATTGTAACAACAACAGCAGAAATGCATGAATAAGAATACCTACTACAAACTTTTTCCAAGGGGCAAAATTTGTTTAAAAATATTTATGAAGTCGTAGTTCAAATGAATACTAAGGTTGTTTATATAGATAAGCCTAAGCTTAATTTAAATGAGACGCTTAAAAAGACAGATAGACGTCTATTATGCCAACTTGCAAGGGTTGCGAATGTGCCACATCAACTTCACAAGCTCGTAAATGACTTCAAAATGATTTAAAACTTAGAATAATAACGCATAGAAGGATAGTTTCATATCAAAAAACCGTCGAGTTTGAGGCAAAACACAATTGATGTAGGCGTAAGTCACTACTACTACTAGCGTACACGTAATGTTGCTATTGGAATCCAATTTTCCCCAAAAGCAGGGAAATTGGAACTGCTACTTCCTTAAGTCCTTAGAGGTTTCTGCGCTCACAAAAAGGGATTTCTTTTTTAATTTTATGGATGAAAATCTGAAATAAGTAATATATATACTTTCACAATGAAACATTAAAAAAGTTAAATAGGAAAGATCGTTTTAAAGTTATTATAGCGTTCCATGTACATGGATTACATCTTCCACAAATGTATATTGTATGCCAATTAAAATTTGTTATGACAGCCTCGATGATGCAGCATAGCATATAGAAGATCCGATATCTCTTCATAAAATAGCACATGTGACTGCTATTAAGAGATCTCGGGTTCACTTCCCGGGTCGGACCAAACATTTTATAGTTATTTAATAATATTTGGGTATATTAAAAAGTTGCTAAAAAGTCACATGATAAATGGACGATACCTATCCACTCAGTTAAACTAAAGAATAGTCTTAAGTGCCTTCTATTTGACTATTAGACCGAATTATAATCAAATTTATTTCATTAATACTGGACATTCTGTGTCAGGGCTTCCAGTGCGAGTGAATTACATTACCAACTTATACAATAGGCATTATTTTATTTTGGAACATAAATAGCAAAATTCGGGAAACCATTTTAAGTTAATTTGCAAGATTTGGTCAAAATGGTTTGTGCCGAAATTTAATGATTTTATTTTTCTTTGAAAAATGTTTTATATCAAAATATTGGAATAAACGTATAGTAATACTTATAGGTGGAATGTTATGTTACAATTTTTATTCTGCTTTTCCGAGGTACTGTGGCTCCCTTTAATTACACAAATTGTCATTTTGTATTAAGCTTATGAGAGCTGTTAGCACTACAATTTGACCTTAAGCACTGTCACCCGCCGTTCGTCCGCTATGCCAAAATGGCATGTTTTTACTTCCCTCACTTATCGTGCGTGTTCTCGGTTTCTATGTGTTTTTTAAGATTTAAAACAAGGTGCATTATCGTAATATTTTTAATGCAAGTTTTGGATTTACTACTCTAAACAAAAATATGACATGACATTAGAACACTAAACATGGCAATAAATAATAGATAGACTGTGTCAATATATCTAATGAAAATAAGGATGAATTTTGGTAAATGCCATTTTTGTAGCGAAAATAATAGGTACTTGACACGATTTCACAGAGGATAAAAATTTGTGTAACAGACCATTAATTTAATTTTGTGGGGATGGCAGCTGAAAAAACAAGTTAAAAACATTTTTTCTTTATTAATAAATTGACTATCACCGTAACAACTCAGACAAGACTACTGTGACTTTCTTTTTTTGTAAACAAACTGTCATCTTTGCGTTTTGTTCCTATGCTACTAAGTAAACCTTAAATAAAATCTAAGACGATGGCTGCATTATTATCTACCCACGGCTTCATCATGACATTTACAAGTTGAGGGTATAAGAATTCATCGTATGTTATCTTCTTCTACCAATTCTTATATATGTTTAAATTACTTAACTATTAATCGATTTCTAGATATCACTTCAAATCACGTAGTTTATACAAATTTACAAAAATAACACCTCTTTCTGTAATCCTATCGTAAGGATGTGTCGCATATTCTCCCAGTTTAAGAGGGTCATAACACATGTACATATATAATAAACGAGCGATCCGCCCCGGCTTCGCACGGGTGCAATGTAGATACTACTAAGGTGGCGTCAGTGTGGAATAATTGATTATGTATTATTATTACTATTATTATGGCAAGACTATACTACAGGACATCTATACATTATGCGATATTTATAGACCCGCTCCGATCCTGCCGCCGCTGCCACCCGCGACAAACGTACATCCCTAAGCGGCGACGGCCCTAAATATCTTCTAAAATATTCATTTTAATGATATGCTGTCAAGAGCAATTATAATCTAAATTAAACGCGCAACGTATCTATAGTATTCCTTGGATAGGGAACAACATAACTGATGACAAGGAATTAGACCAGCTCCCTGTCAGCGCCGGTTCACGTAGTAGCTACGAGGTCCGTAGCTACTACGTGAACCGGCGCTATATTGGATAAGGAATAATAATGTTTTGTTTAAAATAGCTACGTAAATAGCCATTTTTTTTGTAATATTTAATAGATAAAAGAGGTTACTGTGGGTTATCCTTAGGTGATAAACATATACCACTTTTTCGTAGATTTTTAAGATATACAATTCCGTAGTACATTAGCGTTTGCAACGTAAGCGCGCAGAAACATGTTTTTTAAAACAGTTATTTCATATTCTCGGATTTTCTCTACTATAATATACATATTTTCGGACATTTCGGACATCTAACACACAATGCCATCT